TTAAAAAAAAATTTTTTTTTATTATAAAATTTGTAATTTATAAATGTTTCAAGAAAATCTATATTATAAGAAATAATAAAATTATATATTTATATAAGCATAAATAAATGCAATTGTTTTGTTCAAAATTAATATATCAGTTATAGAGTATATATAACAGAGTGTTGAGGGATTCACACAAGGGTTTGTTGAGGCGTTAATGTGGCATGGGTAAGACGAATTATAAAGATGCTAAATGAAAGTTTTGATTGGATCAAAAAAAAATATTAATAATTTATAATAATAACAATTAATAAGAAAATAACTTTAGTTAATTCTTTCTTTTAACATTACTGTTAAAACAATGGATTGGTTTGATATATAAGGTTCATGAGCTACCAAGTAATCTCTGGAATCTTCAGTTAGAGCTACGGTTTAACTGCTTTCAAGAAACTTGGCTAAACTATTCAAATTTAATTTATTAATTATTTTCTAACGACTTGTTTATAATAATTTTATATATCATATATCATTAACATATCAGTCTGATCCACAGACAATTCTGTTTAAATCTCTTAATGATCAGGGAATAAAAATTTAATTGCAGGTTGTAACTCTCTTATTATAAGCAACCTTTTGTAACTCTTTTATTATATTTACTTCTGACTCAATAATTTATTTTTAAATATACTTGATCCATATTATTAATATTTTAATTCACGACTTTATAGGCGATATTGTTATAGTTATTGAAAGTAATTAAGATTAGGACTGCAATTAGAACAATAGAGTTATAGAGACAAATAGGAAGAAAGCCACCATATTATATATATATTATTATATTATGATAATATATTATATATCGAATTTTTTTATCCATTAGCAAAATCTGGTAATAAGTAACATTTCATAAAAGCAGTACGTTTTTTGAAAAATTGGATCTCTTTTTCTGGCTATCAAATTTAGACATCAAATTAGACATCATTATGCGAAATTATTGTTCCAAAAATATTCTCCGGTTGGATATACACACAACTTTAACACTATCTAATATTCTACATTGGAACTAAAATCTAATTCTTGCAAAAAAAAAAACCGCCAAAGAAAAGGTAGCAGCTAAACTATTAATTAGGATAGAGACGAAGAGCTAAAATATACGAAAACTTGTAGAATGAAACTAAAGAACAGTTAATCAGTCTATTTGAACTTTACTAACCAAAAAAAGAAAGGCTTTACTAACCTAATAAAACTACTAGACGTTTTAATTCTATGCGAAACATCTCGGTATAACTTTTTATGCTACTAGAGGTAAGAGCTTTTTTATGCTACTCATACTAGGGGTTATAAAACTGATCATAACTAGTCAATCCAATTCCATATGCAAATATCTTTTCTACACTTTTAATAACAGTTAACCTAAAGCCACGTTTTACATTGGTTCAAAAGTAATAGTGATTATTAGTAGTCCCTGTTGGGATAACCCTTTCTCATCTAACCCTACCTGCTTCTAATCTTATCACTTCTCCATATAATCATTTTGTAATTTTTTTCTATTGCCTGCAATATAAATCTTTACGGATTACAACAATAACAGAAATGGGTTTACTTTACCATACTTGACGATCAGGTTGTAGTCTTATAATGTATATATCATATTATAATGTAGTTTTAGTTAGTCTAGGCCAAAGAAATGTTAAATATAAGGGCAAGCTAAATTTTTTAAATAACAACTCCAGGTTATATATAACAAACCAAACGAAAATTGATTTGACATAATATGAGAATTGAACATAAATATATACTCTACATGTAGAAATGCTAAATCCGATATAATCTTGAACTAGAATCAAAATGCAACATATATCTCATATATCTCACCCTGCATTTATATCAATTATCGCAAACATATTATTAATATCCCTATTATAAAAAGGATTAAAAAAGACAAGATCTAAAAGTTTTCCTGTAATATAAAGAATTTTTAAGATGATTGGATTTATAAGTTATAAGAATAGGTATTATATGGGTATAATAGGGTAGTCTTAGCTAGGTGTTGGTTGATAACTGATGGTGTGTAGTAAAAATAGTAAGTAATATTTTATTAAATTTTTTATGTTTATATCTAACAAATTAGTTCTAATAACTATAAATTTTATAACGTTTTTAATATTATATTACCATTATAAAAGTACTAATATTTATAGTAGGAGAGGTTTTTTAAAAAGAATAAAATTTAAGGATACTAATAAATATGAGACAGATATGGATCAGATAAAAGAACGAAAGAGTTTATATATATTTAATGTTATAACATCATATTGGAAGGTTTGTTATTTTTCTTGTAAGAATCTTTAATCTCTAGGAGTGATGGGATAAAATTATTCCATTATTAACTCTCAAAAGATAAACATACAAAGTTAATTTCTTTGTTCTCAGTGTGTTCTTGAAAATCTCTAAAGCAGTGAATTTTAAATACATTATTATATTAAGCGAAAATTATAGTGAATATAGATATATCAATAATAACATATTAATTTAATATTGACTTAATAAATTGACCAGTAGGCTTTTTGATCAGTTTAAACCGTGCAGTATGGATCATGTTTCTATGTTGTTATTATAGAATTAATATATATTTAATACATATATATTAAATATACATTTTATTATATTAGGGCTATGTTATGCAAACAATCAAATGATTGTTGTTGTAGCCAATATAAATCTGAAAAGCAGATAATATGAAAGAATTACACGACGAATGGAAGGGGTAGGTTGTGGTTGGGTAATGGTTGTCTGAGTGTGTGGGAAATCTAATGGAATGGGTGTGGATTTGATAATAAATTGAAATCAACTAGGATCAAGACGGAAAAATCTGACCACTTCAATGGGGTAGGTTCAAAGATCTATTGATCGAGTGTCGATCACCACATTTATTGTTGCTTTTAATTTACATTGAAAGTGAAAACTTACGTGGTGATTGATGATCATTTAATCGTTTGCATAATATAGTCCTTACAGATCTTAGAAAATTATATTGGAATAGGGGACGGGTTATTAGTTATTACGATTTTTATAAATTGTATTAAATGCTAACAAATTTCAATTACATTGATTATATGAAAAATATTAAGTATTTTCATTGACTTTTACTCTACATTATAACAACAAAACTCGTTAATAGAAATTAAATATTTGAGAAATATATATTTAAAAAGTTTGAGTCGATATATTTTTAAAGCTATAAAAATAAAGTATTGAGTTTTCAAAAGATCGACGACCAACGCTTTCCCATATTTTTTCCAATACATATATTTTAATTTTCGTTATCTACTACAAATAACAATTACAATATAATTTTTTGTTAGGTACACAAAAGTTCTTAACCTTCACTGAAAAATACACATATAATAGACTATAAAAAATTTGGAAAGCGTAGGTATTGATCACAATTAATAATTATATAGTGGAAGATACTACAAGTGATGCAAACATATATGTTATTAGTTATTGCACACACATTAACAATGATAACAGAGAATTCATTATTTTGTTAGTGTCTATGATTACTACAATTCACCAGGAACATAACTAAATTATATAAATTAAAAATATATAAATTCTTTTGTGACTAAATAAAATGTGACTAATTTAAAAAATTATTATAATAAATAATAAAATCATTTATCTATAAGAAATGATTTTATAGATATCTCTACAAAAAGATTTTAACTATTTAATTTACATATTTATATACACTATTCAAATTTAAAGACAAAGGTAAATATTTTGAACTGCATTTGAGTTGAAGAAAAAACTATTTTTAGTCGCAGTTTATTTAGTCATTTGTTAAATATTTACTTATAATTTGCTGTGAACACTGGCTTTAGTTTAATCAACAATTCTTTACGTTAACTTTGTATTATGTTTCGATATTATTGCCATCTCCAGCACTATTATTCCTTCTTTCAATATAACTTACATCTAATATACAAAATTTCGCGCGACACATTGGACAACTGCATTTCTGTTCAAGCCAGACTTCACGATCGAATTCATTTTGGCGTGCGGCAAACCATCTTGCTAGACACTCAACACACCACATTGGACGACAATAGCAATCTGAACAGACGTTATCCGGTACTAATGGACGGCCTTCATTATCAACATCTTCACATTGCTTACGTATTTTGATGTTGGGCTCCGCTACCATACAAGCGAAACATTTGTCTGCAATAAGGTCTGCTTTATAGATGGGATTAAGTGCTACATGTTCCTTGAACACATCAACGAAACGATCAACTACATTCCTATGAAATTGTATATTTGCTGGTATGGATATTGGTCGAGTTATACGTTCTTCTAAATTACGAAATTCCAGCGCATTAATGCGGATATTAAAGTCAGGTATACCTTGACGATTAGTCTTCACTTTAATGCTAATCATTTGCAGCGTGTCATTCGAGTCTTGTGACACATTATATGTTTCCGTCTAAAAAAAAATAAAGTAAATTTAATACAATCACTGTCTTTTTAAAATATGAATAGTAATATCAAACTGCTTATTTATTTATTTATTAAAACTATTGTCAAGACAAAACCCAACGGCCGGTACTGCGGTCAGTTGTACCATATATAAAACTACTTACAACTGCAGACAACTATAATCGTGAATAAAGTTGTTTGAGATATTTATAACTGAATTTTTCTAAAAACTTAATAAAATAGTTTTTATTTCGTATGCTTAAAAATCACAAGTTCAAGTTCTATAGTCGTTCATATAGATTGGTTCTAATATACCAACGAATGGTCATTGTGGTAGAAGTCCCACTTAACGAAAGGTTCCTTACACAACCCATGTTTTAAACAAAGAAATAGAAGAGGTTTTCATGATCTCGAAGCTCGATAATTGAGTAACACTGAAAACAGCCAATAGACATATTCTAATGTACATGAAAAAAGTCATAGTTTTCACCCTGGATATTATAAATGATAGTGTTAACTAACGAAATGTGTTAAAGCTAATGTTCCATAACATATTTTGATAAAGGGACCATCATTACTACCTATAAAACTGCTCTAAAATATTACAAGACACGGATAAACATTTAGATATAATATCCATAGTATCAAAGAGAATAAAAGTTAATAGCATATAACTCTGTGCACTTTATGTTTCACTCAGTAAAATAAGCAAATTAAAAAAAATAATAATGGTACTAAATTTCTTAAAATTAGTCTGTACTGTATTTTATTGTAGTTGTTGCAACTACTGGAGATCTATAAAGCAGATAACATAAACAAATATTCAAATACTTTTATAGCTATATTCAAATACTTCTATAGCTCCATTTCGCTATTAAGCAAAGTCAATGTATTACTTAGATAAAATTTATTTACTGATATGAAGACATTCAAGTTATATAAATATCGATAAACTTTAATTTTGTTAACCCATAACGTTTATGGTATATGCCTATTATTATTATATTAAATTATATAATTTCTCAAGACCTCAAAAAAGTGTTTAGAGGTTGACTGCTTTACAATATAATCCAGACACAAAAAATAATCTTATACCTACTTTATCTCAAACAACTACTTACTTTTTTCTTCTCACTCTACCTTAATCCAATCACATTCTAATCTATTATTTATGTAATTGTCTTTATATTTCCTTTTATATAAACCTCCAAGGGTCACAACAAGAATAAGAATACCTTTTTTTTTATAACAAGATAATTAACTAACTTAACTTAACTTACTTTGTATTAAATATAATTTACAATTACAAAACTGAGTAATGATTTAGTATATATTATTAATCTTAAACTTAACTTAATGTTAAACAATGACCTTTATTGCATTATTTTACTATACCTTTGCTACTGACAGGGAGGTATCACTTTGATGGGCGAAGTTGACATTATACAATGAAGTTTTTATTATCCAATTTTGTGTTGCAATCACAGTTGAAATAGAATTTAACTTCTTTTTATATATGTCGTACCTAAATTGAATGAAATAGTTATATGTTAAAATAAGTATTGATTTTTTTCTATTACCTTCGAAATTCTGCACTTATATCCGTTGCAACAGGTAAATAATTATGTGGGCCATTCGAAAATTTATTTAAGGTTAAACTGATCGGATGACGTTTCCAGTTTTGATGTTTCCAATTAAATATTATCGCTGGTACAGCTAAAACTGCTATTAAACTAAATCGTTGAGCTATTTTCCATGTAAGTGTTTTGAACGCCACTGCTTCCTGTGGCATTGGAAAATCAGGGTCAAGGTCTGCCTCTGGTGGTTCCTTTACTGCAAATACTGAAAACTTCAGTTGATGTATTAGAAAATACGCAGCCGGAAGACAACTGTGTACGAATAGATTTAGGCAAGTGCGTCGCTGATGATAAAGTATAAAATTAATTTTCTCATCGCCCAGTAACCGGGCGCCAAATTCTTCGATCGTAAAACCTAAACGTTGAAATTCTTCCGGAGGAAACACAATACACATACATAATAGTATATAAAATAGATTAAACAACAATTCTGATTCGTCCATTGTATTAAAAATTTTGAAAAATTCAGGGAAAATTCCCTCAGTATTAAAAAGAAAATAAACCAAAACAAAAATATATAATTCTTCTGCGTGTCAAAATATTCTTGTCTCTTTTGTGCTGTTCGTTCAGTGAAGGAATTGCAGGGTTGCTATAATTTTATTAGGAGTTTATATTAATTTTAATGTTAATGATAATTTTCGCAATATTAATTTTTCGCCTTTAATAATGAAGATTGGACATTTAAAAATATATAAATTTATATTTCTTTATATAATGTTCAAATACAGGCTCCTTGGGGAGATATGCAGATCTAAGGCCAATTATTGCTTAGTCTAATAAAGTGATAAACAATAATCGAGTCAAGACGTAGAGAGGGGTTATGAAGAAACCTCGTAGTTAATAGAGAGTAAAAGTGTTCAAGTGCACTGACTAAACATAATAATAAATAATGTAAAATATTTATAGAAACAATACTTTTAAAACTCATGTGTTCACTTTTTTCTTCTTTTTTGCGTTCTTAGTGCTGTTAGCTAGCACTTCGATTATTTTATTGTAAAATTCATTTCTTTTTGTAGCGTTTTAAGCCATTAATTTTCTTATTTTGACTTCTGCTTATTTCAATGTATGTATTTAAGATAAATTGACTACTGATTTTTTTTTCTGATTCACAGAAAGAGTCGAAAGCTATAGTGTAAGACATGAACTCACTAAAACCAACACTTATATGATCTGGACACCCCTGGTTTAGCACATAGCTGTATTCTTAATTTAATTGACCTATAAGAGTTCTTGCTGCACGGGGAAGGCGTCGTTCTTCCTGGAAATGTTAAAAGGGGCACTATTAAGATCTTTGTTGCAGTGCAACCGTAGTCTTGAAGAGAATACTGCATATGTGTGAAGGATTGTAAGTTCATTAAAAAGTGGCGATGTATCCTCCTTGTACTTTTCTGTATCCTCATCTTTTCTCATTAAAGAATGGTGGAAGTATCATCCTTATTTTCTAATTAACGGGTGGTGTATTGGCATAGAATCGACGTCATAGTAAACGGTTGTAGAAGGAAGAATATAATCTATGAGCAAGCACAGGATAAATAATGATTATAAATAATGGTTATTTTTTTTATTTTAAGGTTTATTTGTAAACATTTATGAGTAACATCGAATTGTAAAAGTTTTGTATAATTTGGTTTACCACATTCGTAAAATAATAAAAACAAATAATAATAAAAATAATAATATTAATAAGCGAATCTGCATAAATCTCATATGCAAAAGGAATGTCATTTACGTTTCTTACCTTTTTTATGTTTTCAATAAAAATTAGTTATTTACGTACATAATTGAGTGCATTTTTATGGCTTTAGAGCGCTTAAGCAAGGAATGTTCTCGTTCGAAGCGGAACTAGAGTCGTTCATGCTTAATTCAAAACTGTTTTCGCCACTGGTGCCAGTGACCGTTGTTAGGCTGGAATCATTGTTGGAACTTCGTTGTTCTAAGATACTTAAGTTGGGTATTGAATTGTCATCATCATCGTTATCCGAATCGTCGCCGTTGAGGTTTGCAGGTAGTTCCATATCATCACCGATACTATCATCGTTACTTAAGCTGCTACGATGACTGTGCTCACTGAATTGGGGTGAAATGCTACCATTGAGTATAGCGCTAATGGGTAGCAGCTCACTATCATCTCGTTCGCCATTTAAATTTAATACACTTATATTAGGCAAAATCTCATTGTCAGTCATGGAGTGAATTGTATTTGTTGCATTATCGATGCTCTTTGTTGAGTTTTCCACAAGAACGCTTAACATAGGAATTGGTGCTTCGCTGAGGTTGGTGGATTCTGTGTTTTGTGATTGTGCGTTAGTTTCCGCTGATACTGATTGTTTACTTTCGTTTTCGTTTGTCATGAGTGCAGAAAATTTTGGTATATTTTGTGAAATTATTGCGCCACTAGCAGTAAACGAATTATGCACCGCTTCATTAACATTATTCTCATAAATTCTGCCAGCTTCAGCGGTGCTCGCTTCATTTGCTTGCTCTGTTTGTAGACGCGCGGCACGCAATGCTCTTGGTGGCGGTTTGGGTGCATCGTTGTTATCAATGGGTACTTGTTTTTCGATTCTTTGATATTTGGTATAGAAATCTTTATTATTATGAGTTGAACTGTTCGCATAATTAGCATTGTGATTGATTGTTTCTGTTCCAGGATAATAGGAACTGTCATTGACAATATCTTTAATATCATTAAATAAATCATCTGGGAGCGAAATATCGATTTTAGCAGCTGGACCGTTCGTTGGTCGCGCAGGTGGAGGTTCTGTACCAACACAAAAAAAAATTATTAAAGTTTGGAAAGGTTTGAGTGGACAACAATGCAACTTACCATTTAGAAAATTTAAAGCTACAAAATCTGCAGCACGATATAACTCTGCTTTCAAGAGCAGTTGTATCAGTACTCCAATTGTGGGTCTTTCAAATCTACGACCAGAGGTGCTCCACTCGTCAAACAAAATCTGTGAAAATAATCTAGATTCACCAGGTCGCTTAGTAGCGCTTTCTATAAGCCATATGTCGTCGTTATTGTATTTCAAGCCAGCCGCTGAGATGGCTTGATCCCAGTCAAGCATACCGTCGTCACTGCTTACTTCATTGTTCAGCTCTTTTGGGATCACTTCCATCAATTTCTTCCAGCAATTGTTGTCATCCAGTATAAGACCAAGTTTGTAAACATCGTTTGGTTGCAGATGACGCAGCTCTGTCTTACGTGTATACATTTGCCGTTCTTATATAATGCTTTTCGGGGACGAGTATTTCAGGTGTTCTAATACATTTTTTTTAAATTTTACTAGATCTTAACTAAGGAATAATCAACAAGTTCTCCCAACGCGTCTTTGGGTTTTTCTGCAACTTGTTATCCACATATATCCAAACAGCTGTTCAAGTGTGGAATGCGAGTTTTCAGTGCTGGAAAGTAAGAAATTTTTTATCATATATTTTAGTACACTTGAAAAAATTTTTTTAATAATATTTCAATGAAGTGAAAAAATTTTATATAAAGCTTGGTACTTTTTTTGCAAAAAGCCACAAGATGAGACTTAGACCTAAAACCATTTCATAGGTATGCTAAATGTACAAATTTCAGTCCGTGTGGATCGTAAAAGTGAAACCCGATTAATCAAGTGAAAAGCAAACATTAGAAAATAGAAAGGCTTGTATCATATTTCCACTTTTCTCAATTAGACAATTTTAGATAATTAGATAATTTACCATACAAAGATATAAAGCTCATATAAATGAGCTCATTATAAATATATCAACTGATTTAAGGTGAAAAATGTTAAATGCAATACTTCAAAATAAATTTCAAGCAAAGGAAATTACCAAAATCTGAAATATTTGTTATATGTTTTATTTTAATCTATATGAAAATAATACTCTGCATGTTTATGACTAAATATATAAATATATAGATACAAATAGATAACCTTCAAATCTTAATTGGTTGAGATCACTGTTAAACACACTGAACTTCTGCTTAAAAAGGAAAAGTATTGCAAAAGAATTCTCGTGGTTGGTTGAAAAAATCTTTAATTAGTTTGCGAACAATCAGCGTAGAGAAGAATAATGCTCGGTTTCAAGCAAGATATAGCACTTTCTTTTTTTCCTGCGAACAGGAGTAAGAACTTTGAATTTCGTGTCATGTTTAAATGTTATTTCAAATTTATACGATATGCTATATATATACTATTACTATCAATCAACACGAAGATAGAATTGTTCTTAATACTGCATTCTTTTTGACAACGATATGCAAATGCATAAGTCCTACTACCGCTTCCATTGCAGAAGTTTAAATGTTGTTATTTAATCCGTGTGGATGAAGTATACGAAAAATAACCAGAGTAGGTTATTCGAAAGAGATTCTCTCATGCTATACAGATTGACGTTTAAATGATACCAGAGTCAGTAGAACCGTTCCAGTACGTTGTATACGTCGATCCTTTTCCATCCCCACCACTTTTTTCATCTCTTTCTTCACTTCTATCATACACCTTTCCATTTACATCATCCTTCTCCATTAAGTTAGTTATTTATTCTTTATATGTGGTTTCTTTTTAGGTTTATTTGACTTATAACAACAGCAGTGATAGCGAGTTGTCTAAAAACGACCGGGTGGGTCTACATCACGGATGTTTATTTTAGCCACTCGTCAACAGTGAGGAACAAGTGCCATTCTCTAACCACCAAAGGGATTTTACAAACAGATTCCAATGAGTTACAACAGAAACGCCGAGTCGTAGGCTCGGTCGCTCCTGAAGTCTGTTTGTACAATACTCATCAGACTTTCCTAATTTTGAGACTGAGGAAGAAAAGACCTTCAAACACAAAAACAATTTCCTTAGTTTTAAAAAAAAAGATACCCATGAGTCTTATATGAAAATTACAAGTGGATATGAATGGATATGCGATGAATTACTGCTTAGAATTACTGAGAGAAATTTTCGATAGCCATAACGAGTTATAGTTTAAGTGTTGAATACATCACTAATTTAATAGATTATTATAACATACGTTTCTACTAAAATCTCTTGCTTAATTTCTCCAATTTATTATGGCTTAATTACAAATAAATTTAGCATATATTTTTTTTTTTAATTTAATTTTAAAACATTGACTTTATTTTGTTTACGTTCTATTACACAATTGATATAAAAACTTTGTATATTGTAATAGTATATAATGTATATGGATGTAAATTTGACAGAATGGACGAAATTTTATATCTGATAAGGATAAGAATATAATTTTTTTTCTCTATATGCTATATACTATTTATAGACCAAATCTATTATCTATATAAATTTTTTTTTTTTGATATATAAAAAATTTTAATAAATTTATAGTAAAAATTATTCGATAATTATTCATTTTTTACATATACAATATGCATGTGATTAGTTCTTCACAATTTTAAGGCCACTTTACTGTTACACAAGAATTATATAATCTAGGTATGCTATCAACAGACAGCCTATGAATCTTTTCCAAGACTACAATGGAAAA